ATTCGCTCTCACGTTTTTATAACGTATTTTTCCTTTCCAAACTTTCAGACAACTGCCCCGATGGCTGGAAGGAGTTTGAAGGCTTCTGCTACAAATTTGAGTTGGATAAGAAAACGTCCTTTACAAAAGCCGTGGCCACTTGTCGCGAGATGAAAGCGGAACTCCTCGTGGTAAACTCGATGGAAGAGAATCGATTCATAGAGGGACAGATAGCTTCTGACAACTACGTGTGGCTAGGAATGGTTCTACACCGTGGTCTAGACGCCAGCTGGCAATTGTTAAATGGCGAGGAACCTACCTTTAACTTGATAGATGATTACAGGAATAGATTCTCGCCGTACTCGCCGTACAGGTCACGCGGTGAAAAGTATTGTGCGCTTTTGATCCGTAAACGCGGTTGGTATGGACTGGAGTGTGAAGATGGGATGAACGGAGTAGCCGTGTGTAAGCGCCCGTTTTCTGGGTAACTCTAAAGAATGTTTCTTTGTGTGTCATTCCTCCAAATGAAAGTGGAAAAAACCCATCTATGTGATCACTCTTTAATTAGCTAATTTACTTAGACGTCAGCAGAAATCGTTATAATTATTCAGTTTTATTTTGTCTTCACGTGTTCTTTTCTTAATGCTTGTAAACACATATTTTATTCGATTCATAGAGGGACATGTAGAAATAGCATCAACTCGGAAAAAAATCCGAGTTCCATATGAGATTTGAATCCACGACCCTCCGTAATCTAAGCTACTGGAGACTCTATTGCGAGTAATTATAGTGAAATGTGGGCGTTTTGAATTTTAGTTTTGGTCCTTAACTATTGCCGTTTTTCATGTGATTTTGTACTATTCCAATTGGCAAAATTACCTGTTCTTCTGAGGTCTTAGTATGTTGTAGAACTTGACGTTCTAAAACATTCTAGCTGGACAGGGCCCTTTGCTTTGTATGCATGAAGCCCGTTTGAATTTCCAACTTGGCGCGGTTTTTGCATTGCCCGAGAAGGTTGTCGGGTAGGTCAAAATATGAGTTTTCGCTGAAGTTTTTCCTAACTGAACAGTTCTTGTACTAGAAAAAGCATCAGTTTTAATGTGCCGGAATACTAGTGTAAACACTTTTCGTTTCAGTAACAAAACTCAGTGAAAGATGTTTCTGTTACTTCACGGCCGCCATGTTGTGCCCCTCCAAGGGGCTGAGATTGAAGCACCCCCATCTAGGCCATGTACAAACGGAACAACATGACGAGATTAGCTAAATGCCACGTTTTAGAACTGTGGAGCTTACACGCGTGCACGGATTGAATGCTAAAAAAGATAAGATGATATACGTGCGAGGAGAAAATTATTGGAGATCTAGCAGGGCCTTTGCTTTCGTCCAATAACTTATCTTTTTCCTTGAAAGTCCTCTTAGCAGTGGAACACAATCAAACTACCATGTCATGCCATGTCATAACATATCAGTCTTTGTACGTTTTCGCCCATGATGAATTTAAAAAAAAAAAAAAAAATTGCGAAAGACCTCGGGTTACCCCAACTACTGCTTATAAATGCAAAAAAAAATCTGCGCGATTCCGGTTTAGTTAGTTATTTTAGTGTATAGATGATCTTGTGGTGTTTTTATTCAATAAAGCTTGTTTTTGGGACGCGGTGCCTCATGTTTTCTTTCGCTTAGTTTTTGTTGCTGTAGCACCAAATAGTAGATTTTCTTAGCCTGTGTTACAGCCCCCCCCCCTCCCACTTCTCAGGGGAGGGCGGGTGTTTGCCCTGATACTATGATCACCCATTTCTCCAATTCATTATCTTAAAAGAAAGACCCTGCAGCGATTTAGAGGGGCGGGTAAAAGCTGGTGCAAGCTAATTGAAGTGCCCTTAACTTATTTATTTATTTATTTTAACCCTAACCCTAATGTTTCTCTTGCCTCTGAATGTCACAAGTCTGTCTGCAACCGAGCGAAGACTAGTGCGAGTGGTATGCCAAAATGGCGGCTAATTTGGGCGTTCTAAGGTAATTCCATCGAAATAGAACTCACAGTAGATTTTCTTTTAAACTTTACCTGTAGGCTGTTCATATCAAGAGAACTTAAATTTTGAAATACAAAAGGGGGTTTCCGGTATTCGTTTAGGAGCAGGAGGACCTTCAATAAACCCTACAATTCCTGAAATCATCTGCTTTCAGAAACGTTTGTATTTGAACAATTCACCTAACGCTTATTGAAAGCAGAAAAATAGGGAGAAAGTTAAGCGAGAAATACAACAATTGATGGATTGCATCAATGTTAGAAACAATTTGATGCACATTTCATGATAAAGGCAGTCATATATTTAGTCGACAGGGATACAATATGTTCCAAGCACGCAATGTTCTGGGGTGACACAGTCATCTTTTACGAGTGTTAGCCATTCTCTCATTTTCAGTGATAATTTTTTATTCTGCAATAGAAATTGCTCCATGTTCACTGTATAGAAAGAAGGTGATCTCTACATTCAAACTAAATAAAAAAAAAACGTTGGGTCCCGGTACTCGTTTCCAAGACGTTTAGAACAAGCAACAATTTTGTATATGTTGAAAAGTCGTGCGCAGTAGGGATGCGCAATGCAATTCTGAAGAATCACCTTAAAAAGTCGTTAAAAAAAAAAAAAAAATTCACATTCGTTTAGCTCAAGTCGAAATTTTGTTTCGATGAACTTCCTTTTTTGATGTGGCTTTAAAAATGAGAAATAAAATTTTTGTGGCCACCTCTTCCGAGTTCAAAGAATTATACTGAAAGGAAGCAGCAATGGCCTGTACTCCGGGATCGATAGACTCGGATTCAACTCCTGCTTGGCCGGCCGGGTTGTCGTGTTGTGTTCTCGACAAGGCAGTTTACTCTTGTCTTCTCTCAGGATTATGATTCAGCCGTGTTGGAGAATCTGATAAGGTGCTGCCGAGAAGGGTGGGGTGGGGAGAACTGTGTGGTGGCCATTTCGCATCAAGGGAGTGGTAATAGTCGCTTACTATAAGTCGCGTCTTTGTTCCGGACAATTAGGGAAACTCCCAGGAATTCCCAAATCTTTCCTCTGGCATCACATTTTGCCGATTCATAGATATTTTACAAGTGCAATTTATGGAAATAAAGACAATTGTCTCTGGATTCGAGTTTCCTCTAACAAATATTGCTAGTTCTCACCTTACGTACCTTTCTGTGTGTAATATTTTCCAAAGTTTATCGATGAAAATACTTTTGTATAACGAATACAACCAGGTTCCGACGGAGTTAAGTGAAGACTTATTGTTACTTCAGGCTAACATCTGCCACGACGCCAACGGTGACGTCAGTCAACCATTTTCCTTCGGACACCACCAAATATGGTCAACCCTTAACCCTTTTTTTATTGACTCTGATGGCATTGAAGTAATTTTGGTGCCATGCTGGAGGCAATAAGACCAATGTTTTGCAGAAATGTTATTATTAGCATCGAACATACGGCCACGACACGACCATATGTTTCTGTTGTTTGTTGGCTAGTTTTGCCATTTAGAGGAAGCTAAGGATGAATTTTACATGGTTTAGTTAAAAATATATCATTGTATTGTATTATATTTACAAATTTTCAACACAAAAATAATCTTTTCAAAATCTCAGCCTCAGGTTTTTTCTTAAAATATTCCTAAAAATTTCGCAAATTTCAGCCTCGGTTTTCTTATAAAATATATTTTTATATAGAAAAAAAAAAAAACGTTTGCTATGATCCCGCCCCAAAAACCTTAAACATAAATATAAAGTTACCGTAAATAGCCTTTGGTGGAGAAAGGACCATGTTATTAATTGCATGCGGTCGTGTATCTTTCATACGTAGGTAAGAATTTTTATGAACTGACTGTTTTATTTTCCGTGAATCGCGATTTAGAACTCCATCAATTGCTTGGTCAACGAGCCAAAAGTCGATAAAAGAAGTCTCGATCAGCGAAGTCTCTGATGTAACAACCTCTAATGTGAATAGCCTCAAACTTTCCACATGAAAATCAGAGTTGTTTTTTACAAGTAGAATGACTGTGCGATATTTCCACTTTGGCCATCTGACGTGAATTCGCTTGAAAATATTTTACAAGTGAATTCATTAGTAGCCAAGAGGCACTCATTTACAAACCTCAATACAATACTGAATAATTTATTCCTGTTTCGTCAATTTAAAAATTTCGTTTGTGTCTTTCAACTGCAACTGAATTTCTTCGCAGACATCCCTTTTGACTTTTCTTTTAGAAAAAAACACAGTTCAAACATTTGTTGTCGATCCTAAAATAGACAAGAAAACAACGAGAACAAGACCTTGTTCCGGCATAGCTATTACAAGGTCAACAAGATCGGGCGAAATATTATTTTGAGTAGAAATATGGGCACGAGAGTCGATCCTTTTACGATTAACTCCAGCGTTGACGATTGTTTAACTGTTCGTTTTACACATCATTATACCCTGGATAAAGACAAACTAAACACACAAAAAACAAACATCATTGCCAAACTTGCGCCTTGAATTCAAATCAAAGGGCGAAAATCACGCGAGATCAGCTATTTCACTTCCGGTTTTTGCAGTTGACGTAAAGGAAGTTACGGTTCAACGAAAAGAAAGCGCTTTAACTTGGGTTTTACGGCTCATTTTGTTCATCAACTAGTTTTTAAGTCGCAAATTAAAGTTCTTGACCAAAGAGGGGTGTTGAATTTCACTGTAGCTATTTCTCGCTTTAATTAGACGTTACGTAAACCATGACGACTGGTGACTAGTATAAAGATGACACGCAAGTCATCAACTTGATGATTTTCGAAGACAAATACTTCCTCATTGGGATTTCTGTGACCATGAAATGCCTTTGCGATTAGTCACTGCCAAATAGTCACCAGAAGTGCTGAAGCTCAAATGTTTCAAATTGAAATGTGCACAACAGAGTACAACAGAATATATTTGTGAATTAAATTAACCGGAAATGCTGCCAGAAGGAAGCGATGTCCAATTCGTTCTAACATGTGATTGGTCGGTCTTCAGTCACTCCACTGTTTATGGCTCGGGCGCATGCGTCAATCTTGTCGAAAGCTTCCTCTTGTCCTTCAAGTTTTGTATTTTTGCTGCAAATTATTTTAGTTGTTCAAGAACTTGTAGGGTCTTGGTTTCCTTTGATAGTAAACATTTGGTTAGTGCCATGAGACAGAGAAGGGATATTTCGTCTATTGCTTGAATTTCAGCGAATGGAAACGCTTTGTTAATTTATCGCAGGAAATTTGTCGCACCTGTACTTCTTCGATATTCCGTCGTAAAAACCGGTCACATAACTTTTCACAGCAATGCTCATCAACAAAGTGGTTGTATGTTTTGCAAGACAGCGGTCCAAGAAACGCCATGAGGAAAGAATTGACTCCTAAAAACAATGGCAGAGACTGAAAATCGAGGTAAGCTTTAGTTACAACAAAGACTTTGTTAGTATCGTGACATAAACGATAACCTAAGCGTAAGAGCTGGCCGAAGTTCAAAGATATTGTCTGGATCAGAATTCAAGCTTATATCGTTCTCACTGTGCTAAAAAGTCCTTGGACATTTTTACATAGCTTTTCTTTATTTCGCCTAACTTAGGTTAGATAGGCGAGAGATCTGCCCGGTTTACGATATAATTTCTTAACGTTATATATAACTGTCTGACAATCTGACATGACTTCCATCACAAAAACTAATTGGGATCAATACCAATTTCGCGAAGCTAAAGTTCCTAATCTCTAGTTTCAGAAGATGGCAGAGCTTCCAATGCATTAGAAAACGGGTTTGTATTGCCATGGGGGCAGCCACCCGAACGCCAGACTTCCACAGCAGCCTATGCATTTGATGTAACTCCCGGTGAGTTTGTTCTGAGGACGCTGTTTGCGGAATTCACTGTTCTCGCCGAGAAGAAGATCGAAACTATTCTGAGCGAGCCTTTGGTGAGTTTTTGCATGAGTCTTGGGTTTTGTTGCATTGGGGTTCTCGATGGTAGGATTAGTGAAAGATTAGAGAGCGAAATTATATTTATTTTTAGCGAAAGTAAGAATCGGAAATTTACCTCCGTGCTCGAGATTTGTTTACTACTTTTGACCTTATCCGTGGTAGTGTCCAATTTAGGAATAATTGATAGATCGAGATTTATCCGATAATGAAACCGTTTTTCACATTAAATGAGGGTGTTTTGGAGAAAAATATGGATCTACTTTGCACCTAATGGGCGAGATAAAATGCCCACTGTGATAAACAATGCCTGATCGCCATTGCAGCTTGTACTGTAGATTGTTAGAGACACTATATATTTTGCTGAACGGTTTGCTACATGTATCAGTTTAGAGGTAATTAGCAACCTGAATGCTTCTACTCTCGGCCTCTTGGATAGCTTTGCTACTCAAAAATGCAGTAATCTCGTGATTCCGATGTAAATTTAATTGTTTTCCTAGAATTTGTGTACCCAGTCAACTGATCGCTGCATAACTTATCATCAGCAAGCACACGCTGTCGGGGTTTCGAGCTTTTTTTGAATTATTTAACACAGTGCTAACTCCACAAACACCCATGGCTAGGCAAAGATTAATTTTAATACTAAAATCTCATTTGTCCTCAATCGATGTCGAATGAAGCACATGAATTGAGATAACACTGTTTTCTCTCCATGCAAGTTGTCTGTCTGTCTCTCACAAATGGTATCACGCCACAGTTGTTTTCACATCACGTGTTGTGGTCTCCTGATGTGTGATATTAATAATTGTTTGTTCTGCGTATTGTGCTTATTGTTTGTGTTTGATCCTTGAGTTGAATTACGTGGGTGCTGAATATAATATTATGCTTTGTTAGTCAAGTGTGAGATAATGACATTGTATTTTTTTGTGCAGCAAATTGTTCTTTGGTCATTAAATGAAAATTTCACAGGGACCAGTTTAACATTAAATTTCAACAAGTCAAAGTTTAGGATCAGTTCCTCAATTTTTTCATGTTATCATGGATTTAGAGGACTCAAGAGCTTAAAACTGCAGTGTGTCACGCAGTTGAAGCATAACAGTGAGATCTTATCATCAAAATTTGCCAAAACTGCAAATTTATGCAATCTTTGGAAAATTTACTTCACTACACAATTAGCCGAAACTGGACTTACCAGTTATGTTGCTGTAATGTTTTATTTGCTCATTCAGTCATTGTATAAGTAATAAATCGAACAGGAAAGACCGTGTTTTACCATATTATTAAACACTGAGAAGAGAGTTTAAAATACAACATGTAGCAGAGTATTTTTGACTAACTTCAAGGTGTTTGGTAATGTGGTCAAACGGTGAGTGTTTGTCCTGAGTGTTTGATATATCTTCTCAACTGAAACTAACACTAAGGAGAAAGTGGAGAAATAAAATCGTAAAGTCCATACTAATTTAAGATCAGATATTCAAACACTGTCACAGTCATGATTCACTTGTTTAAGCTTGATGAATTGTTAATGAGCTTGAGAAGTAAAATTAAAACCCCATTGGTATGAATTCACAGGGTTTAGTCACTAAGCGCTGGCTGCAGGTGAAATTTGCCGGCTGAGAAAGAGGTGATTGCCGGCTGGATCTTGGTGGGTGATCACTCGGTTAAGGACAACAAGCGGTTTTTAGGTTATGCACGTGCAATAATTTGATATCTGAACCATATTGAACCGTCTAAATCAACTACTCAATGAAAAGTTGGGAATAAATTCCTGACTACCTTGAGTATGGGTGCCACTATAATGAGTAAAATAACTGAAATGAAATCTTGTTTTGAGCACTTACTCGGCATGTTCTCTTTCCGTGTGCAGCATCTGCCTTCTTGTAAATGCGAAGCTTGGTTGCCCCGCATTCAAGGCATCACAAAAGACTGGGGAAGAGAATTTTTTTACAGGTCTTTTGCAAAAAATGGTGATCAACTCAATGAAAATCTTTACTGAGAGACTACTTTTTTTTAGCTACAACCCTGAATTCAGTGATGTTGATAAGCAACCATAACCTGTAGCACCTGTTATGGCTGAGTATGATTGATGAGCCATTGTTGACGATTACAGCTGAACGTGATTGTTGTTTGATTTAATTCACCCACAAAGTAACAAGTTTGTTATATAGGGGTGGGGGAGGGAAGGGNGTGTTTGATATATCTTCTCAACTGAAACTAACACTAAGGAGAAAGTGGAGAAATAAAATCGTAAAGTCCATACTAATTTAAGATCAGATATTCAAACACTGTCACAGTCATGATTCATCAAGGCAACAAGTAGCTCCAAAGTTAATGGCAGCCCTGGAATTACCTTATTGCAAAGAATCTTGTGTGTTTTAACTTGATTTATGATACAAACCCTACTATGTATTAAGCATTTATGTAGCTCTAAAAGAACTGGGTGGAGTTCTTAAATTAATGTATAAATGAACAAAGTCACTCAAGAAATCATATTAAACTTGCTAATGTGCTACTTTGATTATGTTCAGTTTGATGGAAACTGTCTGGTGAAGTTTCATATGCATGGATTTACTTGAATTACATTACTATTGCAGGAAAGACCATTGTCCAAGTCTCTTCAGAAAGGTGAAGATCCTCAGTTTGACCAGGTGGGTAGTATAGAAACCTGCATCTCTAATAAAGGTTGATATGCAAAATTATCCAAAAATTATTATAGCAAAGTTTCCTGGGGAATGACCTAGCTTGCCAGGAGGTGTCAAATTAACTCAGCAGTTTATAAGACTGTCATACTGGTGTGAGGGTGAGAAAAGGTCTGAATCCGATTGTCCCACACCAGCAACACAGCTGTTCAACATTGTCATTATTTGTGTGAGCTTCATATCTCATGTTGTAACCATCATTTCATTTCCATTGTATTTCAGTTGCTAAATTCTCTGCATATCGTAGCAGAATACAGTCTTCCATCTCTTCTAAAGACTCTGTTTAAGTGGTATGAGAAACAGGTAAGAAAGACTGAGATTAAGAGTTTCTTGTGTCAACCCGGCAAACGCAGGGTTGCCACAAAGTTCTTAAGTAGATACCTTTTACAATAATATTATTTGCTGTAGTAGGCAATTGATTTTGTAGTCTTTTCTAAGGATTTGGAAGAAAAACCCAGTAAAGTAACTGACCACTTTTGAAAACCCTGCAAATGACCTTTTTTGTTTCAAAGATGAAAGCTGGTAGAATGGTGAATATGTTGTGTTTCAACATACCACTAAATAGGAATCTTTTGAAATTTATTTTTCAATAGCAAAACAGAACAGGGGAGTCAGAAACAGATGGACATAAAAGCAAGATCTCAATCACACGACCTAAAGGGTATGGCCACACATACATGCACAGTTGTAAATCACTGGCTGAGTTTAATGTTGTACCTTCATCATAGCATACATGTATATTGTACCTTCATTGTAGATTGGAGTGTGATCGGAGAGGTCTTCCCTCTCTCTCTGATCGTGCTTGGGGCGTCTAGTTTCCCTCTCTCCCTGTTTGAATGCCTGCAATACAGGCTACCTACAGAGTTTTGAAGAAGACTGCTTAACTGTTGGAGTAGGCAGCTGTTTATTCCATCTTTTTCTGAAGAATTGGCAGTCTAATAGCTAGCAGAGTAGCTGGTGGAGACCATGAAGTAGATGGTGACTTTTTGCTGGCTGAGTTTGGTAGCCCTGGACGTTCTTGCCTTCATTTCATCCTACATGAGGATTTGAAAATCAATGCCCAAAATTTCCATACTGACGATGAAGCTCTGCTGAGATCTACCATATTATGTGTACCATTCTGGTTGGTTGTACAAAATTTACAGTTTACAGATTTCTGGGAGAGCCTCTCTACCAATATGGAGACAGACAAATGTAACAACTTATCAACTTCCTGATAATTTTCGACTTTTACACCCACATGTAAATTAATTTTTAACATCTGTTGTCTTATTATCAGTGGCAGTGAGTCACCAAAACTCCAGAGTAAATTCTACGTGTACACTAACAAAGACCATCTTACAGAAAGACGAGATGTAAGTACTGTTATCACCATATCACTGTGATGAATTTTGCGCATCCCTTGTGACTTGTTACATTCTGTGCTCAAGATTGCTTTTAACTAGATGTTTGTGCATATACTGATTTAGGTTGTTATAATTATGCTCAAGATATTTATAATTATTGTTTCGTTTTGTTTTCCAGCTTGCTGTGGACTTCTTGTTTTGTTTAGTTCTTATTGAAGTCCTAAAACAGGTGAGTGAACAGACCTTCATCTTATGAGAGTGATTAGCAAATTATTGGTGACCTACTTGTACAATGTAGGACTCTTTTAATTGTTACTTTTTCTTGGGTGACGGGCCCAAAAAGCATAGATACTCGAGGCCAGGCAGACTGTCTAGTCACGTAGCAAGTACAAATATTGGTAGAACTTTGCCTCTATCATAATTATTGTAAATTTTATCATACGGTATAATTTATATCTGATGGTTTTGTAAATTAGAATTTTTAACAAGTACTACATACATACACTGTATACATACATGCATACATATCTTTTTTTTTCAGTTGCCTGTTCACCCAGTCGACGATGAGTATATCCAGTACATTCTGTCACTGGCATTCAGGCATTTTAAACAAAGAGATAGTTATACTGCTGCCCCAAGTGTGGCCAGTGGGGAAATTATTGCTGTCCTCTATGCGGAGGTTGTTAGTGTGCTAGCTCAGGCTTGCTTTCTGCCTGTACGGAAGAGATTTGTGGCTGAGTTCAAAGAGCACCAGAACAACCCTTCATCCTTTGTGAATATTATTTACGGAATGAAGTATTTAAGAATTAAGGTTTGTACAGCTAACTTTTAGTTGTAACTTGCTCATTTCCGCCAAGCTCAATTTTTGTGAGGTGTATAAAATTAATATTACTTTTTTTTAATTTCAGTATTTTTTATAATTATTAATTAATTTTTGATTCATATTTATTTTCAGTTATATCCAGTTGAAGAATTGGAAGAGTCATTTAATTTTATGAGGGTAGGTACATGATACAGTGTATATAATTGAAGTACTAGACTATAGATGTATTTTCAATTAGTGAAACTTGTTAATGATGCACTGTTCGTTTCACAGTTCTGGAATTGCTTTCAGAGTGAACCTTACTTTTGTATGAATTTGAAGTGGCCCTAACACCTTTGGGATAATTTTTCTTTAAATAGCTATTTTTGTTGGTTGCACAAATTACACATTACTAGTAAGAAACACTTGAACTTCCTAGTTATTAGTCTCAAAATGTTGTTGTTTAACTAAACAATCTATTTCTAACATGAATTTTCTTCTGAACCTGGGACCAAAATATTGTTATCTCTATCAACACGAAAGTTTAATGGTTTTGTTATTTGTTTCAGGAATGTGCTGCCATGTTTATAGACTACAGGGACAAGGAAGTAAAGCATGTATTTGCTCTCATGTTTGTGGAAATCCTTCTTCCTGTGGCTGCAGGTGCTAATAGAGAACTGAATGTGCCAGCGCTGAAGGGCTTTGTGGACATGATGTATCATCATACATTTGATCTTACAAAGAAGACCAGACACAGCCAAGTGAGTGAAACAGCTGTGGTGCACTTGAAATGCTATAGTTGAACTTCTTTTTATCTGATGACCAGTGTGGGGCAAAATTTAAAAGTGGCTGTTGTGTGGAGGCTCGAGTAAGAACTAAGTGTGTGTATCAGAACCTGGTCGGGATGAACATTCCTGAGAGGTTGCCATTGTAGATGTAGCCAATAGTGAAGATTCTACTATACACTTTTTAGTTTCTGTTGGTATGCTTATTCATAAATCCTATGATTATTACAAAATAAATTAAATATATCAGTTGAAAGGGTGGTCATAGAGAAAGTACAGAAGAGAAAGTTGGAAGTCTTATAAGACACTTCTAACTACACTTACAGCGTATGCAGACATGTAAATCTGAGGTAAATGTAATCTCACTTTTTGATCATTAGCCGCTGAATGGGTTTTAAATTGAGGTCTTGTCTCCACATGTTCCAGAGGTTTTTACATGTGTTTCTCCAGGTCGTAACCTCAGGGGAGGGCAAATTCAGAGCAAGTTGCCTGCTAGTATCGGAAAAGTCAGTGAATTGATTTCCTCACTCCATCTTATTATCTCCCCTGGTTGATGATGGCTGTATTAAATGGGCTCATTACATATTGTATGGAAAATTTTCTGTTTGCTGAAAAATATCAACTACATGCTAACTGCAAAGCATGATGATACAGTGTAATTTTTATTTTACTTTGCTTTACTTGCAGCCCATTTATCCACTTGTGACTGTGTTGCTTTGTGTCAGCCAAAAAGCATTCTTCCTCAGTAGTTGGCCAAGTTTCTTGAACATGTGTTTGGGCACTCTCAAGGTAACTTATGATCCTTCCAGTAGAATTTAAGGAAACTGCACGTGTTAGTCAATAAACATATACACTGTTAATGGTTAGAGCAACAACCAATAAACAAGCAAGCTCAAGTATGCACTCTATTACTGATGATACCCCTTTGATCTTACTTGCAGCAAAGGGATGTTAAGATGCAAAAAGTAGCCATGGAGTGTTTATACAGATTGGTTTGGTTAGTGTTTTGATTGTATCTGTCTGATATAATTATTCTGTCTTGATGAGCAAA